CCATGCACTAGTTACAAACGAACAGTCTCATAAAAATGCTCGTCGGACGTTCATCATCTGGGGCTCCTTGCAAAAATGCACTTTGGCAATCCCCGTTCCAAAGATCGACCTGATGCGTGCTTGACCATTGTAATATGGCCATCAGTCCAGCTCTGCTCAGGACTGGCGAATCTCTGGATAGGAGCGGTAGATGCGGATCCCTGAACCCTGCAACTACTATCCGAGCCTTAGGTTTAAACTCCCCCCCCCTTTTGGCTTCCATCTGTAGGCTACGCGTGAGCGCAATATGAGCTTGGCGTCGACCTGGGAGGGGTCGAGATGCACCGCTTGGCACGATGACCATTTTTGCCATTCGGCCCATTCGTCAGCCAGGGCTTGCACGAACTTCGGGACCTCGGCTTGGCTCATTGCCTGCCATGGTAGCTCCTTCTTGAGGGCCTGTTTCTGAGCCCGAGAAACGGACTCACCAGGACCATCTGCTCCTTCCGAGTTGGAGCTCTCCATCACCACAGCTTCGCCTTCCCCGGGAGTTTGCCAAGCCTTCAGGGGGTAGGTCTGATGCACCGGCTCGTCATCCAGGATGTCCTTGTCGTTGTCTGGCTGGTCCACATCCGCGTTGTAGGTGCCGAACGTGGAGCTCTGAAGGAATCCAAGTCGTCGAAGATCTCGACGAAGTTCAGGTCCGGCTGTAGCCAGACTACGGCTGGTGTAGGCGGTGATGGCATAGCGCTCGCCAGCAAAGGGCTGAGTTTCGTGCCGACATTTTGGATGAAAGGAAAGAACACGGCCTCGAGGATCTGCCAAGAAGCCTGGCACGCTCTCACCATTGATACTCTTCCAAACAGCATCGGCCGGCACGTGTGGTGAGCGGCATTCCACCCACAGGGAGCCTCCTCGGTAGTCGCCCACGGTGGACACCCAGTTCAGGCTCTGGTCGAGGTTGTGGTTGTCCCGGTGCAGGCTGGCCTTGCCGTTGCGGGAGACGAACAGCGACGTCACCTTGTCGTCCATGCCGTGAAACTTCAGGTACTCAAGGAGGTACTTGATCAGGTGCTTGTGGTCCTGACTTCGGCGGGTAATTCCCTGAAAGCCGCCATGAGCGTAGAGACCCAGTGCCAGGGCCGACGTGGGTCGTTCATGTTCCAGACACCGTCGTTGACTCATAGGCATATCCACGGCGTCAAGAAGTTGGTGACAAACAGCGCCTCGAAATTTTTTTTGGTGCAACAGCCGCTTAGCCATCTCCTCGGACTTGGCTCGAGTCTGAGCCTTGGGAGGTTTGACATCAACGTGCTTGCCGAACCTGTCGGCCGCGGTAAGATAGCACTCTTGACTGAAGAAAGGTTGCAGCTCACAGGGGCTGCCATCCCATCCAGGAAGAAAGGCATCGCTTCGTCCATGTCGACGCAGCACATCCAACCTTTGGATGCTGCCGTGTTGTCTCTCGAGTGAGGAACTCGCATTTGCCAAATTGGCTTGTGAGCTCAGAACATCACGAGGTCCGGAATCTTGAGGAGAGGCATGGTCATTAAAGAACTGGTTCATTGCCTCCCTTTCCTTGACCTCATCAAACCAACTCTCAACCAAAAGAGGTGAATTCACTGTCCTTGTGCTTGAGCATCTTGAACAGATAGACGTGCCCTTCTCGACCAAGCGATGTTGTTCACCGCAATCTTGGCAGAAGGTCACCAGGGACGTTGCAAGTAGAGCCGTCTCGGGCTCCATATCCTCAGCTGTACGGGCAGCACCTGTAGAAGACGGTCCAGGAGGTGTGGTCTTTTGACACCACGTGCTGCCAGCTCGGGATAGGTCTCTTCAATGATTTGACGAAGATCGCTCTGCAGACCAGAAGTTGCCCCCGATGTAGACGACGCTCGCCTAGCTACAGACGCACTGTCTGGAGTGACCTGACGAGAAGGTTGCTGAGCTTCTGAAGTGACCTGACGAGAAGGTTGCTGAGCATCAACAAAAGGACCAGGTAGTGGATCACGTTGTCCTGCTGATGCAGTCGCTTGTTCCGCTGGTGGTAGTGGAACACGTTGTCCTGCTGATGCGGTCGCTTGTTCCGCTGGTGGTAGTGGATCACGTTGTCCTGGTGATGCAGTCGCGGCTTGTTCCGCTGGTGGTAGTGGCTCTAGCCCGAGTGGTAGTGGTTCAGGTGGAGCGTCTTCCGGAACTGTACGAAGCTTCGCCTTCAACCTCGGAGTGCCAGGAGCCGAGCGAGGAGTCGGCGGAACCAGCATCAACGGCGCCACCAGGGGAATTTGTCCTTCAGGCACGGGTTGGCCTGCCGCATCCAACACAGGTAACGAAGATGGCGTAGCCGGCACTGACAACGTAGCAGGCTGCAAAGCGGAATCCAGCATGTCAAGCGCAGCCTGATCTTGGCCGGGGCCAGGAACATCATCTGACCGGAAGGCGAGGGAGTGCTTGTCAGCCAAATCCTGGTCAGATTTTTTAAGGAGGTCCAAGTCCTGCTGACTTGGTGCCCACCACTCCTCCTCGCCGCCAACGTCACGCACTTGCTCACGGCTGCAAGACACAAGTCGTCCGCGAGTGTTGCGGAGCCAAAGAGTGCCCTTGTCGATGGCGACGATGGTTCCCTGGCGGTATCCTTCGGTTGACCCTTCGCCATCGAGGCCGTTTTTCTGCCGAAAGTAAGCCACCTTTTGACCTTCATGAAACGGACCACGAAAGGGTCGAGGCTTGCGAAGGAGAGCGACGCGGAGAGCATTATGAAATTCGAAATCGTGATGCCTTCATTGCAGAGGCGCGAACTGCTTCGATCCGTTGAAGTCTCTCCGAGTCCGTGGCGAGTTGGCAAGCTTCCACACCGCCTCCAGAAGAAAGCAAGGCTCCCGGCAGACGATGATTACGGCCGTATACCCATTGACATGGGGAACTGCCTGAGCGGTTGAGCAGGTTATTCTTTGCGAAAGCCGCCATGGCCGTGATGACGTTGAGCTCCGCTGCGCCCACAGGAGAAAACTGGCTCACCAGTCTCTGCACAATGTACTTGATGGCCTGTCCATGACGCTCCGTACGGCCAAGCTGGTAGTGGGCGTCGGCTGGCACATAACGAACCTGCGTAGCACACTGGGCTTGCAGCGTCTCAAAGCGGTAACCGCGAAAACATCCATCGGCATCGAGAACCAAGGAATCTGGAGGCCCGAAGAAGGACATCCAGCCATTGATGAGCACCTTCATCACCTCTTCCTCTGTCCTGTCGGCCAGGTAGCTCAACACATGGTAACAGGTGGCCTCGTCGACCTGTGACAAGTAACCGTGTAGTTTGCCTCGTATATCTTTCAGCCACAAAACGTCCAGACCAAGCTTGTCATTGAATCGCTGGGGAGTAAAAGGCTTGGCTGGACGAGGTTGTCGAGGTGGTTGAACTCGACGGCAAACTTCACACTTCAGCTTGCGGGCGCATTGCACAGCAAGCTCGGAGGCTCCAGAGTGAGCCAGATGGCGCACCAAGGTGGCGGTGCTGGGGTGACCCAGGTTAGTATGAACACGTCGTAGCACTTGAAGTAACCACCTGGGCGCAGCAGGTGCTCCAGGGAAGGTGATGTCACGATAGCCCGGCTCGTGGGGCCGAAGCACCTCAGTGTCATCTACCTTGTCCTCCTTCTGGGTCGTCTTCACCGTCGGCTCGGGCTTAGCATTCTCAGTCTCGTTGAGGCTGGTATCCGGAGCTGAGCCGAAGAAGAAGATGGCTGCCCTAACAGGAGCAGCGAACTTGTTGGCCGACTGAGCCATGATTGAGTCAACCGTCTCGGCTTCCAGCTTCACGTTGCCGTCAGACAACCACAAAGCTGCGCCTCGGTGGCGAGCCCCGGCTTGCAGAACTTCCAGTGGTAGGCGTCGTTGTATTGGGGTTCTGCAAACCTGAAGTCTTTCCAACTTCCATGGAACCAGGGCCTTCACTTGCTCGCCGAAGGGGGTGTTCAGAGGAATCACCTTGTCGGGCCGGACTTTTCCTTTCAGCTGCTCATCTACTTCTTTCAGCAAAGGCAGCCAGGAGTCCTCGTGACGGTTGATGTCCAGGAAGTACACCGAGGCGTGGTCGTGGAAGTTCAACGCGTGCTGGGTCATCCTCTCATCGCCGTCGGCCTCGAGCGAAGCGTGCAGTCCCGAAACGACTGCTTGAGCAAGCTCCAGGGTGTACACCTGAGCTCGCTGGCTGTTGCCGCCCAGGACCTGTCCATGCATTCCAGGAGCGCACTGGCACGGTTTGGCCACCTGGGCCAGAACCAAGGGTAGGTCAGACATCCAACCGGTGGGCTTCTTGAGTAACTTCCCGGCTGGATCCATAAGCTTGTGAGCACACATACATCCAACCTGGAAATCGACACCTGGCAGTTGCTGTAGGTGTTGAATGGACGGATGCTTCCAGAAATCCGTGTAGGCGGGGTTTTCGAGGAGAAAATGACTGCCGTAGACTTGACGTGCCTTCTTGATCAGTCTGACCATACGTTGGATGGCCAGTCCCTGTTGATCACGAAGAACTTGAAGTTCATGCGGTGCCCGGTTGAGGTGCTGAATGTTGGACCAGGCGGTACACGGAATCTCGTAGACGAGGAGGTACGGCCGGTGACGTAGTACCAAAGCCTCAAGCTTGTCAAAGTCAGACCGAGACTGCAAATTTAGACCATATACGCGGTCAACTGGCTGTAGAGCTCGGAGTCCTGCTCGAAGTGCTTGAGCTGTGATCTCCGCCGTGCCGCCGTAGATCTCCAGGAGGTCGACAAGAAACCTTCGCATCTCTCGAGCCTGTCGAGTTCGCTGCTGGTAGACATCGCGTTCCACCAGCCACATGGAATGTACCGCACGTTGGTTGCCCAACAGTCTCTTGATCATTCCGGACTTCACCTGAAAGGCGCCTCTGTCTTCCGGACAGAGGGGGTTGTCTGGCGAGCCTCGCAGAACATTCGCACGTAGCCGTGGTTGCACACGAAGAGGATCGCTTAGAGGCTTAGAGCTCCTCTCCGTACTCGTCCACATCCGGCACCAGGTCGTTCGGGTCGAATTGGCTGCCCTCCGAGCCTTCCAGCTGGTCGTTGTGCTCGATGAAGAAGTTGGGCTCCTCCCAGGTGGTCCAGTCCTGATCGTAGGTGCCCACGCTGTGCCGGTCCACGCTCATTCGATCGTTGTCCGACTGAGGCGGGCTCGCCATCCATGTTCGTCGCTTCGGAGCCGGAGGAGCCGAAGGCTTCGGCCTGGCTTGCAGTCGTGCCGTCGGGGATGACCGTCTCGTAGCCGTAGCCGCCGGAGGACCCCGAACAAATTCCCGCGAGGATATTGAGGAGGGATGCCAAGAGGCGGGGTATGCTGCATCTCGGTCCACGTACTCGTGCGTGGATCCCACGCCGGCGGCCTTCGCCTTCGGTTTCTTGGCCTCGCGCTCTTTGCGAAGTGCTTGCACCACCCGATCCGGCAGGTCGAGGGGCGTTTTGGCCTGAGGCGAGGCTTTTGGTGTTGCCGGCACTTGGTTTCCGTTTGGCATCACCACCCATCTGGATCCGCAAAGATCGCATATCCTCACCTTGGTCCCGCCTCCGCCGTAGGCCCGAAGTCCCGAGGAGTGATTGCACTGGTCCGGCTTCCTCAGGTAGGACTGGTTCGTCAGCGCCGTCTGAGCCGCAAGAGCTCCCACTGTGCTCAACACCGTGGTGGCTGTCGATGGGACCCCATAGTTCCTCAGGATGCGGTCCTTCAGATTGCCTTTGAGGGCCGTCATCGAGTACAGCAGCACCATCTGCTGGACGTTGTTCACGAACCCCAGCAGTCGCTGAAGAAAAGCTCGCCAACGAACCAACCATCGCGGAGGGGCCTCCCGAGGCATGCGGAGGAGGTTGCGCCGGGCTGGTAGTTGTTTCCAAAATGCTTGGGCGATCAAAAGCTGCCGGGTGTATGATGTCCGGCAAATCACGTGGTACATCTCTCGGAGGCCAAGAGAACAACTGATCGCCCCACTCGTCAAGACGAATAGCCAAGTGACCACATGGAGACAACCACAACTTGGACGTGCACTGCAAAGCTCTAAAGTAGATAGTGCCTGTGTGAACATCCGGAACTGCACCCAAAGCTTCAAATGCCCTTCTTGAAAGCAACGCAGGGGCCTTGGCGATGACCACACTCACCGACAGACTGAAATGCACACCTGCAATAGCCACGGGATACACGTTCCGACCGACAGAGGCAACCGGAGCACTCGGACCAAAGGAAAACTTGCACTTGTCGGGGAACTCGAGTCTCTTGAGGGGAAGAATTTCGAGGGCCTTCTGGTCATGCCAAGCCTTGCCTGCTACTTGACGTTGACATCCGGTGTCTGCTATGATATATGCCGAACAGGGTCCTTCGCAGTACTGCAACAGCACGTTCGGAGGTCTATCAACTTTGGGCTCAAATTCATGTAGCGGAGGCAGCTTGAAGTAGACCTTCTTTTTGCGAAGCACCACGACATTCGGCGAGTCATCTTGCTCCGGAACATAAGCATCGACATTCGTCGAGGCCGTCCAGCTTGAGTAGTGCTCCACTGCGCCATCAGCGTCCAGGCATAGACCGGTCACACTTGCCGAGGCCAGCTGAGCATTCTGCATATTGAAGTTCGGGCAGTCGCGGAGCCAATGATCTGCCGAGCCGCAACCCAAGCACAGGCTGCCTTGCAGACGCTGCTGTTGCAGCGCGGATTGGGCATCCAATTTGCCCTTGCCCTTGCCTTTGCTCTTGCCGACGCCCTTGTTGCCGGACTTCCCATGCTTGCCCTTGCCCTTGCCGGAAGGGAAAGAGCCCTTCTTGCCCTTGCCTTTTCCCGAAGAGGTAGAGGAAGCGCCCTTCGGCTGGTAGAACCCTCTGGCTTGAGCGAGGCCGGCCAGCTTCTTCGAAGTGACAGTGAGGGCTTGAGCAGCCTCGGCGAGCATATCGCCGACCGGGTCCTGGTCCTGGGCTGTCCACTCGGCCTCTTCGTAGAGCGGCTCCTCATCCTGAATGAGGTTCTCGTTCTCCTCCTCGGGAATGTCGGGCAGGACAGTCTCCTCGTGGTCCGGTACCACGAGCTCAGCGTCATCTTCCTGGGGCAAATCCCAGGCCTCAGTTTCCTCGGCGTCAGGCTGATACCACTCGTAGTTGTCGTCATCAGCATTGGTATGCCAATGCCGCCATCGTCGTCCGCTCTGGGTACTCCTCGTAGACGCGGTGGAGCGTGTAGAGGAAGTCGACGCACTTGACCTCGAAGATGTAGTCGAACCTCGGCCGCGAGCAATTCGGGGATCCTGCCGAGCTCGGGGTATACCGGTGATTGTCATGCCGGCCGGGTACTGGATGCGGAGCGCCTCGAGGACCTTAGTCATGTCGTACTGGTTTCCAGCTGCCAGCAAAACGGACGACACCGATTTGTCATCCAAGCGAAGACCGTCCAGCAGCTTAACCACACGAGCCTGCTCCGGGTACGGCGGCACCCGGTTGTCCTTCAACTTGCGCTCCAACAAACGAAACCTTCTTATAAAAGCCGACACGCTCTCACCTTGAAGACGGCATACCTGCTCAAACTCCCGGATTGTACCCCCTTGACGGAAAAGCTCCCTCTCGCCGAAGGACACTTCAAGATCCTTAACAAGCTTTGCAACGCCATCCTTGCAGTCGAACTTGGAGTCGTCGACCTCTTCAAACTCCAATTCGGCTTCACCCTTGAGCTGTTCAAGCGCCCTCAGCGCCTGTTCATTTGGCGGCAAAAATTCTCTCGTGATCTTCAACCACCGGCTGAGTTTGCGCTTGTAATGGCGCAAACAGTAAGGGTCCTTCTCAATGTCACCATCAAACACAGGCGCGGGCGGGATGGCTCCCGACCTCCATCTCTTCACGTCCTTCTCCTTGTCTGAGGCCGCCTTCTGAGAACCACCGCGCGATCCGCGCTTCCTCCGGGGCGTCGCCGAAGACACCTCCAGAGTCTGCACACTCGAAGAATTCGACGAGGCGCCGGAGCCAGTGCCCTCATGCCAGGCATAGTCATCGTCGTCGCCCTCGTCAGCGCCGGCGGCGCCTGACGCCACTCCAAAGTCGATCAAGTCGTCATCGAAGTACATCAGTCGCACTCTTGGGTCGTGAGCTTGCCCAAGCGTCGCTACCAATGCAAACGCAGCGCTGAAATAGCTGGAGCCTGGATTCCCTGGGCCTTGATGCAAGCGTCAGCACGACCCTCAAATGAGCTCCATCTTTTGGCTCTAGATGCGCATGTCCCTTCCCTCGAGAGGAAACAACGGTCATGAACCTTCAAAGCACATGCGAACATGGCCAACATGTACAGACGAAGCGCTGCTTTAGCACTCCTCTTTATTTACTTGGCCTGTTCGCCAGGGCTGATTAGCCTGTCCTGGCAGCTGTGCATCTTCTGGACTTCGACTCTCTACAAGAGTCACAGTCGGAGCGGACATCCACTCGCGGAAGGCGTCGCGGAGGCTTTTGTTTCTCTTTGTCATCACATCGGCCATTTGCTGCTCAGTTGGGACCCATCTGAGATTTCGGCACTGCTGACGGAGAGCGGCGATGCTGATCTCCACGCGCTTCTCCTGAAAGGAAGTGGTTAGCCTGTGGATGGCATCCCATAGGCTTCTGGCGTCAGTGACGGGTAAAACTTCCAGCAGCGGCGCCTTCATGGTCGCGTAGTGGCCTGCCTCGAACATCTCTGACAACATGGCCGCGAGGTAGTGCCCGAAGTCCTCAGCCTTGTCCAGGGACGCTGCTTCTGCTGCCAGCGTGCTTCGAAGAACTCGTTGATGACGATAGCTTCGCCATTCCAGCAAAGATGCTGGCTGCGTGCTTTCCAAAGCATGCTTTGAAGTAGCAACCACCACCAGGCCACCCTGTGACTTGCCGTTCGGGGCGTTGCCGAAGCCTGAGTCGCCGTAGGCCACGATCATGAGCTCGTCCTTGGGAATGGAGACGATGCGGTAGTAGGCCCCGTTCGTGGCCTTCACGTAGCGGAGAACAGCATTGATCTCCTGAAGGTCTTCGACTTTTAACTCCTTGGGTGGTCTCTGGAGCAAAGAGACATCAGCCGAGATGTCACCGCGGGTCGTTCCAGACAGCCACTGAAGACTGCCGATGCCCGAGCGAAACTCTGTGACCAGTTCAGGGTGATCAGACAGAAGCTCGGACGGATCAAGCTTGGTCCGTGTGATGGGGACCTCAGAAACGTAGCTCGCCTGGTCCACGGTGATGCTGTAGTCCTCTTGCTGGCATATCTGCCTGCCCACAAAGATGAACTTCTTGGTCTCCCAGGCCTTGCCCCAAGTGAAAGAGCCATGTGCAGCATCCAAGTGGTGCTGAAAGCCTGCCAGAGCAGCGAGGATGAGGTCATCCACGTGCAGACCGAGAATGGCAGTCACCTCATCCTTCTCATTCACGCGCTCAACGTACAAGAACAAGCAAGGATCTAACGTGTGCGTGGTCCATCCCAGCTCCAGCAGCGTCTTGTGTACATGTATATACCAGCGCCTCGGCGCGTTGGCTTGCCCGTAAACAGGGGCGCTCAGACGGTAGAGAAGGTCCGGTCGAGACCATTCGGGAACCGCCTGCCTGCTGACCGGATCCGACGGTGGTCTCTGTTGAAAATAGAGCCTTCTCGGGCTCTCTTCCCACACTACAAACTTCTCGGACTTTTTCCTTTCGCGGGCTGACTACTTAAGCCTTCGTGTCGCGGAGTGCACAACTGTTCTCGGGACTGTTTCACAGTTCCTACGTTGTTCCTACTTGGGACTACCATGCACTAGTTACAAACGAACACCCCGCCTCAGAAAGTTCTTGCGGGTTCCAAGGGTGTTCTGGAAACTGCTAGGGCTTTCTGTACACACGCTTTCTTGGTAGGGACTTTAGTCTCCGGTCTGTTCTTGGTCTTTTACCTACCTGCGCTTCTGCCCTGTTTCTACTGCTTTGCTATGTACATCCTACTTCCTGTA